CCACCCTTAAACAGGGTCCCCCCCCCCCTTCAGCCTATCATGAATGCTTATACCAGACTCATCCACCTGACCAACCGCTCAATGTCCGCTGACCCTCGTTGCCAATCCCTCCACTGGCTTCCACATGCCCAATGAATAAAATTCTAAATACTGACAAAATACAAAGCCATCCACAACTCTTCCCCCAGCTATACCCCCACCCATGTCTCTAAATATCACCCAAACCGTCTTCCCATTCCTCCCAGGACCTCCTACTCTCTTGCACCTAACAACTGAACTTTGACCTTTTCCATCAACACATCCTCACAAAGCTACCATCTTTTGTACAACATGCCCCTTACTTTTAGATTGTCAGCTCTTGTGAGAAGGGCCCTCCTAAAGCTGGCCATACACTGTTATATATTTCCCATTAAACCTGAGGGCTTAACAAGAAAAATTTAACAGATTACTCCATCCATGCTAAACAGCATGGATGGATGAATCTCATACTGGGCTGTTGTATTCTGACCACGGTGGGGGTGCCGCTGTTAGAATACCTAATCAGTAATAGAGGCTGATTGGCTGCCTCCACTCTAAGGCTTCATTCACACGAGAAAAGGCCAGCACGGGCAGCTCCCGGGAAGGACAGGTGCTGTGTGTGATTAGTATGCAGCCCCTGTCCTTCTCTATGGGAGTACGCAACCGTACGCCGCCCTACGCTCAACCGGCCTGCACGTCCGTGCGTGTGTCCGTACTTGTACGCTGACAGGATGGATCCTGTCTGCGCCCGAGCCGGGACACCCACACACGTACGAACCTGCACTTGGGGTGAGCGTAGGGCGGCGTGCGGTCGCGTAGTCCCATAGAGAAGGACAGGGGCTGCATACTAATCACAGCAGCGCCTGTCATTCCCGGGAGCTGCCCGATACGGCCCTGCACGCAGCACGGAGCTGTACGTACCGGCCTTTTCTCGTGTGGATGAGGCCTAAAAATTTTACTAATCCAAAGTCAGAATTATTGAGACTGGGATGTGCTGGTGACCTTCGTTCCTATAGATTGCTGATTGGCTGCCATCACTGTCCAATCAATTTCTGACTGGCTCCTTTGTATTTTTGATTGTAGGATGCCGGATGGAGGGGTGCTGACAAAGGCACCCACTGTGTGAATTCCGGCCAGTTCATCAAGAACCGCCTCTAGTTTTGGACCATCTTAACCCTCTTGTCCTGGACTGAACTGTACTGTCTCCCGTTGTGGGGTGCAGACTGTGGGAGCTATATAAATCCTGTATAATAATTATAATAACAGTCTTCACTGCTTAGAACTGATGACGGTGTGCTTGGATGCTAGAGATTACTGAGCTTTGTGTATTATCACTGCACTCCGTTATAATAAATACATCTCTGTGTATTATTATTAAACAATAACTAGCCTGTGTTTTATTATCCTTCTATCGATGCTTTTTACTGCAGCGCAATGCACCAGATACAACGAAACGTCTGTCAATTATCTGCCACTAAACACCTGTTTTGTAAAAGCAAACACACAGCTTCAGGCATTGAAATCTGGTGGTCAGCCAGTCCGGGATTTCAGTAATAAATGCAATTGTGTCAGCCAATGGAGCACTGTAATCGCCACATCTGTGATTGATTTCCAAAGTCTGGTCTGCAGGTCTGGTGCTGCAGCTTGACACTATAGAGCCGGGTGGTGTTTTATGTGCTAGTGACATCTAGTGGTGACTTATATTATTTCAGGAGAGCAGCGGGCAGCAGATCTGAGATTGCAATGTGTCTGACGCTTACAAATCTTGGAGAAAAGAAATGACCTGCACTGTACAGGACAACTAGTCAGCTGCTTTCATGAACTTACCCGCACTTGAAAAATGGCAGCTGTACTCAGATCGATGTCTTAGGGTAGCTACGTTCACTCCTCCATTGTATCTATGGATAAGCAGTGTAGTCACTTGGGCGGCAACATTGTCAACCTGTGGAGAGGGTAGTGTTAGGTGGACTTTACATAAGTGACTGAACCCCAGCTAACACTAACAAGCAAATACAGGATCAATTTTTATTATTTATTTTCCTTTTGGCATAAAGGTTTTTAACTATATGAATATAAATCTGGCCATTGTATGCACCCCTATCAGTGCAAAATGGTTTATCCCAACCCCCTATCTGCCACTTTTACTGGACAGCTTTGCCTGTTAAAGGACAGTGGTCACCAGGTAATGAAAGTCTGCTGAGGGAGGGGAAGAAGTCAGAAAAACAAGAGCTGATGTGTAACTGCCGGTGACTGAATGTGTCACATGTCATTTTTCATTTGGCCCATAGTACCACTTTAACCCTTTGTCTCATCCCTCCCTGTGATGGCTCCAGGGAGGGATGAGAGACTCCAGATGCCGGGGAGACAGGGGACAGTCTGCTGAACAGTTCTACTATAAGCTGATGGTCGCTAAAGCGACCATCTTTGGAGAGTTTTCATCCCACTTCCTGTGGTGTCTAAGGGATAGGAAGCTAAGAGAAATCTCCCCAATGGGATCCAGCTGGTAAAATAAAAACATATATGTTTTTAAATATGCTTTATTTCTGCGTGGTCTCCATAACTTACTGGGGTGCGCTCTTTACCAGCATACTGAGGGGAATTCATCAAACCTAGAGTAGATGTTCATGGCAACCAATCAGCTTCTCTCTTTCATTTTCAAAGTTTAATTGAACAAACTAAAGAGAGAAGATGATTGGTTACTATGGACAACTGCTCTAGATTATGTCTGCTCCAGTTTTGATAAATTCCCCTCATGTTCTATAATGTGTGGAAAAATGACGTACATGCATTTGACAACTCAGACATCATATCCATTTGCTTGCACAACGAAACGTGTTCAACCCGTCTAATTGACATTCTGAAAAGCAATGTGTCCCTAAAAATATAAGAGAGACCCCCCCCTCCTTGTCTCCAACAGCTAACCAATGAGCAAATAAACGTGTGAGATTTTTTATATCACATTATGCGGGTTCTACTTGGAGCATCCTTACCCTGTCACTGTAATTCTTTGCCCACAAGAAAAATGACCGACTCATTTGACGTTGCCCTTAGGTGGGCGGAGCCGTTCACTTCAGCGCACTCGCGGTCAGCCTAGCCTACTTCTTACACAGCGTGCTGACGTTCGGTGGGCGGAACATAGACCGGAAAAAGCGTGCGTGAATCCGGAAGTCTGAGTGCAGCTGCAGGAGAGAGGGGATTATCTCTGGAAGAAATTGTAAGTGGTGTGCAGCTGTGTGTGTGGCGAATGTCCTGGGCTCCTAGTCCTGTCTGTGATGGGCTGGAAGCTGTCCAGTTCGTACTCTCTGTGTGTGTGTTCTGTGACTCTTCTTGTTATAGAGGTCCACCATTATTAAAGGGCAAAAACAGGCATTACTGGGTGACAAATGCAGACTTTCACACATGTGCGGCCTCATGCGGGTCTCCATGTGACACAGAAAGTGGTTGCAGTGTGCACACAAGAGCTGCCCCTATAGAATCATTCTTCACATAGGTGTTCATCTTAGAAGCTAAGCTAGTTACAGTTCTGTCATGATTGCTACACAATGCAATTGGCTGTTTAAGAGGAGACTGTAGTGAGAGGACAGGAAGGCTGTCATTGATGATCTCTCCTTTAGGAAATGCTAAGTGACTGGCTGTCACTTTAATCCAATAGCTTTACTGCATTTGGCGGCAGGGGCCTGGAACACATATGCAGGTCAGGAGTCCTGACTTTCTTATCTGTATGAATAAGCTGCATAGTTTGATGTCATTACGATGTCTTTGAACCCCTGTAAGGGAGTAAAAATTGTGTTTTTATTTCTAGTAAAATCCATAATAATATATTGCGTTGTGTGCATCAGCTTTTATTGTACGTGGAGCCACGGCATGTAACCAATGACCAGCAGGGTCTTCTAGATCAGGAAGAATCGGTAGCCATTGTTCTCAGCAGAAATGCCCCATACAAAGTTACCATAGACATTTTTAGACTCCATTGATTTCTGTTGCCTTCCCTGATTTCTATGTGCGTAATAAACTGTTGTAAGTGCTTTTGATAATCAGTAAAATGGTTTGCAGGAAGAAGACACCGCTGGGTTCCAGACGTAGTATCTTGCGCTATGGTAAGGATGATTGCATGGACTAGCCTTGTTTACAGTTTAATGGGACCTCTCCTACCCTTTGGATGTGTCACTGTATAATTTTGTTTCAAAATATTTATTGAGTTTCAATAGTAAAAACAAAGGAACACAAATGGTTCACATGTAGTAATGCAATTGCAGAGTATTCAATGCAGTCACTGTATAATTTTAATAATCAAGTACAATATATCTAAATATTGAGCAGGTTATAATTGCTTTGCATGTTTCCCCCATAATGACGCATCTGATTCAATTTGTGTGGTGATTTTGTTGCCTGTTTCTATCTGTTTTGCAGTCAGTCAGTTTACTTATACCAGGGGTAGGCTGCCTCGACACTTCAGCTGTTGTGCAACTACTAATCCCATGATGCATTGCAAAGCTCTGACAGCAACATGCATAACTTTCAGAGGCATGATGGGATTTGCACCACAGCTGGAGTGCCATTGTTGCCTACCCCTGGGTTCTACAGTAAAAAATATACTCTTCCTGTGTTTTTATTTTTTCCCCCTCCATATCAATTTCTGCAGCAAGGGTGCTAGCAACTCGCTGAACAGTCAAACCACTGCTCTCACACACAGGGCAGGGGCCTGGATCTTCAGCAATCCGACATCCCCAACACTCCATCGCCACAGTGCTCCAATCAGCAGCCTTTCTCAGGAAGCATGAGCGCTGTTGATTGGAGAACTGTTCAGGTCATTGATGGACTGTGACTTCGATGTGTGCGATTGTCGACTGGTATGCGGGTCTGTTCTAGGCGCCTGAGAGACTGTGACCGATGTGTTTGTCTCTTGCAGGCCTCTGTGGTGGATCTGAAGTCTAAAGAGGAGAAGGATGCTGAGCTGGACAGAAAGATCGAAGCCCTGCGTAAAAAGAATGAAGCCTTAATGAAGAGACATAAGGTAGATGATTCAGAGTTGTATAACAAGTGTTGGGTGTGCACGCATCTAGTCTCCATTACTATAATTTTGTTATTCTTATGGGTGTAGATGTTTGTCAGTTTTAAATATATATCTATATTTACACTTTCATAAAATCTACTTTATTGTTTGTGGCATTTGTTCTGGGTCCCAGGAAGACTGGGCATTAACAACCTCCAATCTTTTATCTGAGTCGTATACTGCTATTTAGGAATTGAAATATATTAGAGCAGAGGGCAAATGAAAGGTGATTGCTAGATTTGCCATTCTGAATTTTTTTATGCAGAACACTTTTGCTTATAGACTGCTTCACCTTTTTATGAATGCCAAGCTTATTAATTAAGCAAAGAGCAATCTTCAAAGTGCAGTAAAATTATTGGCAACCTTGTAGACTGTAAAATACCCTAAGGGCCTGTTCACACGACGTCCGTTTTCTGTGCTGACCTGATCCATACGCTCCTGCACTAAAAATGCATCCCAATGCGTTTTATGGGCTACAGTTCTCACGTGCGCAGTCCGTTCAGATTACGACAGAAAAATACTGCATGTCACATTTTGTACGGTCAGGAAACAGACCGGAAACGCAAAACACGTCAAAAACGTGTCAAACGCACTGCACTGCAGCTAACATACTGACAGCCCCACTCCAGCTGGAACGCATAAAAAATGCGGCAAAACACATAGCACCGCGTCTGCTGATCCGCACCTGATCAGGACCTGAAACTCATGTGAACAGGCCCTAAAATTATGTTGGAGGGTGAAATATCTATTTCTTAGAGTAATTAACCCCTTGAAGACCAGGTGTTTATACCCCCTTTCTGGTCAGGCCATGTTTCAGTATTCAGCGCTGCGGTACTTTGACTGACATTTATTCCATCATGCAACGCTGTACTGAAATTAATTTTATACCATTTTTTTGGGGACAGATGGAGCTTTCTTTTGGTGGTATTTAATCACCACTGGGGGTTTTATTTTTTACTATATTCAGGAGAAATTACTGCTCTATGGCCGGCGGATCGCTTGTATGTTGACAGGCATCGCTGCAGGTTTTTAAATGATGTGTCTTTCCCGCTCGTGCGCGGGACTAACCGGACGTGTATACACGCCCAGTTACATCCAAAAAGCTCCCGGCCGGCTGTGTATACACAACGGCCGGCCGGGAGGTAGTTAAACATCGTAATTGTTCTTTTTGCACATATGGTGAGTGCTTAAGGAACAGTCTTGAAGCCATTTTAAGATAAAAAAAGGACAGTCTTTTATTCCGTAACAGAAAACAAACTTCAACAATAACACATGGTCTGCTTATATTCCAGCAAACAGAACAGATCACATAATCTCACCGCCTCCAGGTTGTTGCACATAGCTTTCACACCTCTTGTGTGACTCTTACACATATCCCTCGTGTGTGTTGCTGGCTCTCGAACCCTCCTCGGCTGTCTGCTCTGTGCCTCTAGCACACACAGCCACCCGGCACCCCTCTGACTTCTGGGTGGAGTCTTTCTGACTCCTCAACACCTCTGTTCCTATTCCCAGCCAGAGCCCTCATGTGCCTACAGCCCACACCATACCAACTCCTACCGTGAGCTCTGGTCTAGGCTCTTAATGAGTCTGCTCTCACTGGCAACACCTGACCTCAGGACTGGAGATTTCATCCCACCCAGTACTCTAATGAATCTTCAGAGATCCAGATCCCAGCTACAATCTGGAAAAACAGGAAGAAACTAAAAGGCCAGCTTCTTCCCTGCAAAACTAATGTATCTTCTGGAATCTCTCAGCCCCTCTGGCTACGAGTCCTGGGTGTTTGTGTCGCCAGCATCTTCCGTGGCATTGCTACGCACTGCCACAACAGCCATATAACTTATCTGTTACCATTTACTAGGGACAAAACAGACCTGTCAAGTCTGCTTAAAACTTTCATAAAACCTTTTATGGACTGTAAATTATACTGTTTTACTCCTAATTAGTTCACTTTGCACCAAAGTGTTTTTTTTTTTTTTGTAGATATATATATTTGTAATGCAACAATGTGATGGGCTTCCTTTTTTTCCTAGCTGATTGAGGAGGACCGGAAAATGGCAGAGCAAGAGGGCAATGCAGTGACCACTCCAAGAAAAATCAAAATGTCAGATGGCGAGCCAGATAAAGCACGGAAAGAAAAGGAGAATTTTTCGATAACACTTGATGTATCCCCTGGGGTGAGAACCTTTTCCTGCATCTTGATGTACCTATAGGTCATGCTGTTCACATAACAATGAGTACAGCTGTTTACGCTGTTACCATGACTGTCACTGTGAGAAGAGCTGGGAACTAGTGACATTGGAAGTGTGCTACAGGCTTTTTCAAACATTGCCTGTATGCAGTGCACTCTTCCTCCAGCTCATCCATTGCTGATAGGGGGAGAGAGCGTGCACTGTTGGAACAAGGCAGGAGCGTCTGCTGGGGGGCACACATCTAATGGCCAGGATGGACTGGACGGAGGGGGTTGTTCACCTAAAGGGTTTGCACAGAGGCCAAGCAGGACTTGCAGGTTTGCAATGGAAATCTGAACATACCTTTGTAATGTGCTGGGGATGTTGGAAAGTGTGTGGGGGTTTGTTTTTTGGCATTCAGAAAGATAAAAGTACACTTTCAGTATTTATAGCATGCTTGCTTTTTCCATTTTACAGGAGAAAAGAATTGTAAGTGAAGGTAAAGCTCCTCGAGACTCGCACACCCCTACTCGTACTAAAACCTCTCCGAGGAGCCCTACCCAAAGGGCAAGTGTACGAACAGGAGCTTACCCAGGAGGACGGAGCCCCCAGTTTGACAGATCAGGTGAAACTTTTAAATTTGATGATGACAACATTCACCCATCTGAGAGGATGGAAAGGGGTAGGAGGAGGCAAGGTGCAGAAGCGCCAAATAGAGGACCACGGGTAGCCAAAGAGGGCCCTTCAGTGGAGCAGTGGACACCGAGTTCTAGAGGAGGAAGAGGTCCAAGCCGAGGAAGAGGTGGAGACACTCCGGGAAGAGGAGGTGGTCTCATTGTAAATACAGAGGGTACTTCTGGAACTGACAGAAAGGTCAAGGTATACCAATATGTTGGTCATCTATTTTTATTTTTTTAAATATATCTGGATACTTTTTGGTCATAGTTTGTTTTTATTTTTTTAAAACAGGAATGGGAGGAGAAAAGAAAGCTGAATATAGAGAAGATGAATGAGGAGATGGAGCAAATTGCAGAATATGAGAGGCACCGAAGGGTGTGTATTATCCTTAACACTTCAACCTGATGGCTGTTCACATTCATTGTCACCTTTTTTTTTTTTTTCCTCTTAACCTAACCTTGCAGACGTTCGTGTACAAACCGAGGATGGATCATGTCTCCTCAGATAATTCAAAACAGCTTCTTTACTGACTTGTTAAAACATGGCAGTAACGCAAAAAAGAAACGGGAATGAAATTCTGTACGCATTTCAGGCCCAATGTTGCTTAATCAGAGTCTATGATTAAGCGCTTGTGTGCGTAAAGCGCCTAAGATGCTTTTTATTCCTGATTTTCCAAAGTTTAGCTGGGAATTAATAATTCTTATTCAGATTGATGACAGTTGCTCATTGATGAGAGTTGCTCATAGCAGCACAGTTTGACTCCCACATGTGAGCACATTTCCCTTTTTAGTGCTGAGTGGTACGGAGTTCAAATTGGCAGATAAAAAGTGTAGTTGTAAATTACATTTGAGAAACTGAGTACTGCTGGCCATACATGTGGAGTTTGCTGCACAATTCCACCAGAATCTTTTTACAATAGTTTTGATTCAATAAGCTGTGATAACACTAAAAGTGTGCTAAAGTGGCTTCTCAAGCATTATTTTGACATGTAATGGACCGAGCTGACAACCCTTACAGGGAGTTCCCTGTGCCCCAGGTAAGTGTAATATCCTTTTTTTTCAGGCTGACCCTTTAAAAAGAACCAGTGGCAACTGACCTTATTTAAGAAATTCAAAAATCAGTCTTAAGCTATTATAACTGTGCTTGTTGCACACATGAAATATTTAAATTTACTTATAATATAAGTCTTTAGCCTAATTGTTGAAGAGAAATATGAATTAACTGCAGGCCTGTTTTATCTGATACAAGCCCCCACATTCAAACTAGGAGACTGTTACATCCGGTAGTTGACTGAGCAGCAGCTGTCAGACTTAGGGCCAGTGCACACCTAGGCGACACCTCACCGCACGGCAATCGTGCACGGTCAGGAGTCGCCTAGGTGTTCACCGATCGCTCTGTGGGTGCCATTATTTTCTCATGTCACCCCAGTCGTGCCGGGCGGATCGCACGGTTTCCCACCGCGATTCCACCTGTGGTTTCGAAACTGCCACGCATCGTGTATCGCAGAAAAGAAAGTACATGTACCTTTTCTCTGCGATTGCCGCGCAGATGTCACCCCATTGAAATCAATGGGGCCACGCGGCAATCGCGGCCTGCATTGTGCAGGACCGCGTGATGCCAGATCGTGTAGGTCTGCACAGGGCCTGAAGGTAAGCTCTGACCCTCAAGGACAAGAGTCAGACTCGGAAACTTAAACGTAAAGCCCATATCTGGGTAAACAAAACTATACTTGCAGTGCGGCTACCCCTGAACTGCAAGGGTTAAGTGCTCAGACTGGTACCAACATCCTCTTCTCTCCTTTGCTTCGGAAGTCTAAGGACTACTGACATCATCATCATCATCATCATCATCATCATCATCATGTATAACGCGGTTTCCATAGACCTGCATTAGACGTGAGGGCACAGAGGGACATTACAACAGCCGAAGGGGAAGAGAGGTGAAAGCTGACCACCTGGGAGGGGGATTAGGTAAGTAAAAGTGCTCCAGTCATATATGAGCACTCATGCCTTGCAGTGTGTGGTGTAGCCCCATTGCAAAGGTAGTTTTTTGGTTTGCCCGGAGATGGGGCTTTTAAAAAGGGGGCAAACAAATCACTTATAAATAAGCCTGTACAATTATAATACTTTAAGCCTGAATATTGTCTATAAGGTACCTATTTTGGCATGGGAAGTATCTTCTACATGACTGTATACATTGCAATAGAAAACTATTTTGGCTGCCTTGTTTCATCATACATGCACACAGTAATCTCAAGGGTGAAATACAAGCTTCCCATTCATTCTAGTGTGTACGTTTTAAGTATACAGCCCAAAAATATTTATCAGCATGGTCTGATCAATGATACTGTTTTAAGAATTGTATATTTTTGAATCCTCCTCAATTACTTGCTGTTAAATGACTGCTTACGCCATTGATTTTTTATTTATTTTATATTTTGCCTAGGATGGGATGAGAGAAAAAAATCCGATTCGCAACTTTCTTGATGATCCTAGGAGAACAGGCCCTATTGCAGAGGTTGACAGAAAGGAGGGTAGCCGCAGGCACACCAGAAATTGGGGAGGCACGGATTTTGAGAAGGTTAAAACCGGGATGGACCGGGAAAGTCATGTAAGTAGCTGAGGTTCATAGACTTATGAATTTCAATTTTAGGCACAGCTTTCAATCGGCTGGCAGTAGTTTTCTGTTCAGGTTATCTATTTTGTAGTGGCGGGGGATGTGCAGAACCTGGATACTGCTACATTGCTGAGTTAAGTAGTGTCCCCTGCTTATCACCTGCAGGGCAAGATTAGCAATTTTAAAGCTTTCAGCTAAGCTGCCTGCAGAGAAAGTAGCAAATTGGCTCTTGAAAATCAATAAGTGAACACATTGCTTAGGAAAGACCTACATTAAAGGCCATCTGCACTTTTATAAATGATGAGTATTTATTGTGGTAATGTTGAGCTGCAGTGATGATGTGTACATTTGCATGACTCTCATTGCTGGTTTTTTTTTTTTTTTATGGACTGTTTACTACAGATACTACAAATTCAAAATCCCCTCCGCAGGAAACTCAAACTGACCCTGGGGTCGGGTTGTCTTGTACAGGCTGTAAAGCTGCTGACCCCGTCCCTGTGAGTCATCACAACAAGATCACTGCACATCAGCTTTGCCTCTCCAGGTCTCTCTAATGAATAGGGGCAGAGCTCAGAGAGAGAGCTTAAAGGGGTTCTAAACCCTCTGTTTTTTTGCCTATACCTACTGCTAGCAAGCAGTAGATATAGGCAAAAAGTTTAAGAAAAACAAAACTATTTAACAGCGGTTTAAACCTCGTTATCGCTGCACGCTCCCGCCCGAGAATCCGAAACTGCTCGGGCGGCCGCAAAGCATCTTGGGGCGGGCGCATGCGCAGTTCGGATTCTCGGCGGGGAGACTAGCAGAGACGCAAGGTAAGTCTATGGACGCGTGCACCCGCATGCAGACACCGCTGGATCGGAAGTGCCAGCAGGTACAGAGGAGTCAGCGCTTGATCGGAGAGCCGCCGTACCGCTGGAGGGACAGATGAAAACATCAGGAAAGAAGATCGGATTAAGGGACATCATTTAAGGTAAGTGCTAACATTAACATGGGGGGAGGGAAAACATTTCTTGACTTTAATGTCACTTTAATTTCCACAGAGAAGCTTGTGCACGAGGGAAGCATAGCATTATGGGAAATGTAGTCTTCCATGCCCCACATTGTAGTTTCCACTCAGCACAGCAGCCTATAATTTACACAGACTGCTTGCAGAGCACAGAGGCAGCCATTTCAAAAAGAGCCATGAGGCGATGAAGGGGACGGCTAACAAAAAGGTGTTCATATACAGCATCTGCATATGCCTGCTACATGTACACTCGGTGTACATCACTGGCATATGTTTTTTTGTTTGTTTTTTGTTTCAATACCTCTGCAATGGTGGAACTGGGCTTTAAAGCTGAACTCTAGGCAAACTGCTAAACACAGATTTCGCACATATTTGAGCGTGGTTTTACCTGCCAAAGAAGTTGCATTTCTGTTCATCCATTTCTGGGGTTTACACAGCTAGGGCACACAGCACAGGTCTGTCTAGCAAGGATTTTCTTTGCTGCAGTTCAAAAAACACTCACAGGTCTTGTCCCTCTGCTCGCCCTCTTGCTGGAACGTAATAGATGAAACACACTGGTGAGCTTATCTCTCTCTGTCACTCTGCCCTGCTTGGATCACCATTGTCTTTGGTACAGGAAAGGAAAATCCAAAGTTTTACAGTTGTCATGGGAACAGTAGTGGAGGAGATATCTTCCAATGGGGACACCCTTTCTGCTGACAAGTCTCAGACGATTTTTATTCCCTTTTTGGAAATTATTTACACCTACTTCCTAGTGCATCTCTGAGACCGGAAGTAAGCAGAGGTCACCCCAGGGAACTAAAAAGTTATCTCTCTACCAGAGCACCCTCATGAGATATAAGAAGGTGGCCGTTCAGTGCTCAAATATTAGCTGTACTGTACCTTTAAAGATCATTGCAGATAGTGTTGTGGTTTCCTATCTTAGTGTTGCAGAGTCCTTTTTGTAGTTATAGCTTGGCATTAAGTACAAAAGTTAGACTTTTGTTATAGGCCGCATGGTCAATGATGACTTTTATTCAAAAGGTGAGAAGATCTGGAGGTAGAAATCAGATGGATATGACATTGTCGATGACTGGGAGAGAGAGAGCAGAATATGTGCGCTGGAAGCAAGAGCGGGAACAGATTGATCAAGAGAGACTGGCACGCCATCGAAAGCCCACCGGCCAGTGGAAGAGAGAGTGGGATGCAGAGAAAACAGACACTATGTATGGCATAAGATCATCTTGTGTTTTGTTTTTCAAATGTTTAATATAACTGTGTTAGTCATGTGTCTTCTCATGGGGGATTTCTTCCTAGTGAAAGTTCTGACTTCATATTTTGCTTGGCAGGTTTAAAGATGGATCCACACCTCATATAGAGGATGAACCTATGGGCAGAAGAGGCAAGTATGACTTTCATATAATCTTCCTTCTGGTTTGACTACAGTGAGAGAAGGTTAGAACCTCTGATAGGGTTTTTATTGCTACGTGTCACCGTAGGACAGGAAGTGAGGGGAAATCTCTGTATATATAAAGCCAATACTTTTTCCATTTTGGATAGTGTAAGAAAAGGTTATAATCCTGCTTGTTTGCCATTTGTGTTCCATTCAGTAGATTTTACTTCCTGTCCCATAGACACTACGAGAGGTTTACCTCTCAGATGGTTGTCACCAAAAGAAGTAGCACATTGAAAGATTTCCCTTCTGGTCTTCAAGTTTCAATAAAAATGTTTGACTTGTCCTACACATTACCAGTAGATTGTGCAGTTCATTTTATCTTAAACTGAACCAAAATATCTTTAAGGACACAAAAGGTTTAGTGCAGTTGATTGTTTGTTGTTTATGTCCATTAGGCATTAGGATTGTGCAGAGTATTTGTGTGTATGGGTAATTACTAGGGATGCACCGATACTGGTATTTTGGTACCGAGTACCGATATTTTTTTCCCGGTACTCACCGATACCGATTACCGGAAGTCCCATTCAGGAAGCCTGTTGGCATGTAATGACTCGCCACCTGGCTTCCCGATTAACAAGAAAGCTGTTCCATGCTTCTCGTCACTATGTGACGAGAAAGCATGGAGCTGGCCAATCATGGAAGCCGGGCGCCGTGTAATGACGTGGCACCCTGCTTCCTTATTGGCCGGCTCCATGCTCCTTCGTCATGAGATGACAAGGGAGCATGAAGCCGGCTTCCCGGCCAATCGGAATGCCGGGCGCTGCGTCATTACACTGCGCCCCGCTTCCTGATTGGCCAGCTTCCCGATCAACTGGGAAGCCGGACAGCGCGTCATTACCCGCTGCCCGGCTTCCTGATTGGCCGGGAAGTCGGCTCCATGCTCTCATCACAAGTGATAAGAGAGCATGAAGCCGCTTCCCGGCCAATCAGGAAACTGGGCAGTGTGTAATGACGCGCTGCCCGGCTTCCTGATACAGGAAGTATCGGGCTAGGCATCGGAGCATTTGGGCGAGTACGAGTATCGGCACCGATATCGATACTAGTATCGGTAACGGTGCATCCTTAAATTTTATATTTTTTTAAATGGTGGCTATGGGGACATTTTGTGAAATTTACCAACAAGCTTTTAGATCCAGCCCGTTTTTTATAATTTGCGTGTGGGGATCTCGTATAAGATATGCTATAAAAATATGAGGAAATGGGTTTTGAAACTAAGTGTGTGCGGCTCGCATTGAGTATTCTTTGTTTTACAAGCATCACAGTTCTGCTTGGTAGCTGCCGGGGGTATTTGTTTAACATTCAGTGTCTTATTTTTCACAGAGCTGGATAAGAGAGGCCCTCCGAAGCCCACCACTATGGCAGAATTTATTCCTAGGAGCCTGCAAAGCTCAGGAGAAAAGAGAGATCAGAAGAGAGGCCGAGGAAAAAACAAACCATACAGGTGTGTTTTTTTTTTTTCTTTTCACTTCTCCCATTTTTCTTAAGCATCTATCTCGGCCCAAAAACTAAATTTTAACAGTCCTTAGATGGGGTGGCTGCATTAGTGTAAGGTGTTTTTTTTTTTTCTCCTCCTCCTGCTGATTCTGCCAGTTACCCACTTCCAGTCCTAGGATGACAATGCTTAATCACCCTTCTGTGTTAGGACAACAGACATCAGCCTAGAGGGGTGCAGTTCTGTAGTCCCCAGAGACAGCTAAGAACAATGATGCTGATAACTGTACAGGCAGAGAGCACAAGGCGTTATCAGTTCACAAAATTTCTTGCAAGATCAATAGGTACTTTTTTTTTGAACTTCTCAAACAAATGTAAGAAAAACTTATTCAGTGGTATATTTTACCAACCAAAACAATGCAATAAGAGAATTTCATTGTTGGGGTATAAATATGCTTTATGCTAACTGTTAGTCGAGACTTTGTATAGGTAATAAAAAGTGAGATAAGAGACAAATGGTGAATGTCAATATGCACAAGAGGCAGACAGGTGATTGTCCTAATAGTAGGTAGTGCCACATGTGCTTTGGTTCCATCCTCGTCCGCTACATCACTACTGAGTCCTGTACTAATGCAGGCATCAGAACAGAGGCCTGCATTACTGAGTAGATGATTGTTGCTGAATGCATCTATCCTATGCCGAGGGACCATCATCTAGCCAAAACAGCATGTAATTGTACCATGTATGTGCCATAAAAATACATTTTATTAAATTATCACTGCCAAACAACATATAAGGTATTGAAGATGTATTTATTGAAGATGTATTTTGTATGCAGGTTACTGGTGCCAAATAATTGTGCATCAAAACTCTTGGGCCTAAACACTGGTTGTTCTGGCTTTGAATTTATCTAACCCCATATCGTGATAGTCTTTGCTTACATTTTATATAGATAAGGAAAACTGTCTTTACAGCAACTGCCCTATGTCTTCTCAGAGGCCTCTTGATTGAAAGTGTATGAAGGAAAATGTGCTGTAGATGGCACTTATTTATCTAGTAGTAGTACAACCTGAGCACTTCTGACACCTGACTTGTATAGAAAGTATGAGCTGCCTTCATTGATTTGTTGCACTAGATTATACTCCTTCAAGCAGAACCTAAATATTTTTTTTATGCGTACACGCTAAATACGCAAGTTAAAAACTGCATGCATGCACACTTGCAGTCTGTTTTTTACTTTTTGCATTATCCATATTCAATAGTATCCATATGCCATCTCGCCTAGTCTATTGTCTGCATTAGTGGGAGGTGAATAAAGCAGTGCTACCATGTGAGGGAAGTAATGTAATCATTCTCTCATAGTAAGCTCTCCTTTGCCAGAAACCAGGAGTTTAACTGGGCTGTTCTGTCACCACCCTAAACCTCCCGCTTCTCTTTTCTTTTATCAGGCACTGGTCACTTGTTGTGCTGTTACATGTTTTACTTAATTGCAGCTCCCAATCAAATGAAAAGGGGAAGAGACAGGGAAGGAATAGATGGGGCCACATTGTTTTCTGCAACGATGGTCCCTGCCCCTTTTGCAACTGTAGGTGCATAATTGACATACTTTGAGGGAGGTGTGGAAAGCCTATGACCTCTTAGCTGTGCAACCAACAGAGATGAAGCCAAGATGTCAGAGAATCCACAATATGCTGGGAAACCTTCTAGAACATGCAATATTTGAAGGCAACGATTTAGAAATAATCTGCACAGCCATACACACTGGCTGGATGCCCTTCGCATGGCATTCTCACCACTACATGCAGCTGAGGAGCATAGAAAACCAAGAATGCCATGCAGAGGGCATACAGCCAACTCATTCACTAACTGTTTGCATTAAAAAATAATTCTGCTTTAATGTCCATCCAGATATGGATTCTCTCCACTGTCTATTGTTACAACCTTGCATTGTACAACAGTTCTGCTCTACTGTAAAGGAGATTACATGTCTGATATTTTTCCATAGTATGCATGACAGCCGTTGGGAAGATGATGATGAGGAGGAAGTAAATGAAAAGGACCAGATGTTACCTGTGGAGGAAAAAGAGAAGGAGACGTGTGTGGAGGAAACTGTAAGAATCATAGCACGCTAACAAAAATTTTAGTTTGTGGAAATTTTAAAGTGTGGAAATCTTAGAAACGCTGTTAGGTTTTTATCATTGTTTGGATCTCCATTGGGAAGTTTTTCATTCTTTATCCAGGATACAAAGCAAGGCAAAATCTCCAACTAGGACACAACAGAAACATAATGGTCATTGGAACAGAAAGTAAAATAAATCTCCTACAGTCAGATGAGGTCCTGTAGTCTTCTAAAATGACCTCTGGACAGTATGAAAACCTTGAGTCAAATGTTCATGTCGTTCACATCTCCGAGGGCTGGACAGGCTTGATGCTGTTCTTGCTGATAAACTGCAGTGATTGTGGATAAAGGGACCTTTCTGAATAGAGCATGCATAGGTAAACACCCAATCCCCTCAAAAAAACAATCAGCCACACTGCTTGTATAAAACATGTATGCTTTATTTAGTACTGGAATATAAAGACATAATACTATAACCCTAAAAACTGTTAAAAACCCAATCTGATTCAGATAATTAAGAAGCCCTCTGAAATGTAAACACCAGTAAAGGATAGTGCATGTACATAAATCCAGACTTCACAGTAATAATAGTAATAAAACACTTTAGAATATAAAATTGCTAGTTGGAGTTTTTTTATGTTGCACGTTAATTGCGCAAATGTTTATCAAATGACTAGTTTTAGGAAAAATGCACTAAAAAAAAGATGTAAGTGTACACTAACACAATACCCAGTTATTTGGTAACATATAAAATATAGGGTTAAGTTGGGTAAATAGATACCAAAGATGTCAAGCCTTAAAATTGCACCCACCCATGAAATGGCAAAAAATGACGGTACCCAAAATTGCCCACAGTGAATGTTTTCAAAACTTTTATCGCTCATCACTTTAGAGTTAACAGTGATTAATCGCCATAGAATTATTATTATTATTATACAGGATTTATATAGCGCCAATAGTTTGCACAGCGCTTTACAATATAAGGAAGACATTACAGCCACAATACAAATTTAAGACAAGATGGTAAGGAGGGCCCTGCCCATGAGGGCTTATTGCTTTTGCTCGGACATTCAGAGTGGTATGTAACGTGTTGCTCAGTAGTCGTTTTTTGCACATGGGCACACGCGACACGCATTTTCATTATATGTGTATGTGGAGGGTTTAAAAAATGTTTGGGGTGTATTAATTTAGTATGTCAGTTCTACGCATTTCATCTCCCACAATTTGAGTCAAGCTTTTCCCTGTAGGTCAGGGGTGGGGAACCTCCAGCTGTGGTGAAACTACAAATCCCATGATGCGTCTGTCTCTGGGAGTCATGCCTGTGGCTGTAAGAATCTTGCAATGCATCATGGGATTTGTAGTTGCACCACAGCTGGAGAGCCAGAGGTTCCCCACCCCTGCTGTAGGTGATTCAGCTCCTCCCTCTTTGGATGTCATTGTAATGTAATATAGAGAGGCATGAACTTGGCTGTAGCTTTTCCAGCAGTAGTTGGAAGGATATAATGAACTCCCTTGCTGTGGATTTATATGCTATGTGGTGGGTACCCCCTGCTAGATTATTGTCTTTAAAATGGAACCCAGGAGTCTGGAGTCAGTCTCAACAAGGCATGACATCAGTGGTTCAGAAAGGATGGATTGCATATCGGCAAACATTTATGGTTGCAATTTGCACCTATTTCTAATAATAATCCATCTTCATCATTTTTTTTTTTATTACAGGAAGAAACAAAAGTTGAGGGTGCACAGAAAAATACATCTAAAGCCCCAAAACCTGTGGTGGATGAAAAGAAAGATGAATTTAAACATGACAAAGAGGAATGTGAAGAGGGGGAAGAAGATGAAGAAGAATGGACTGATGCTAGTGGTGATGATGATGATGATGATGATGAAGAAGAAGAAGATGATGGCTCAGAAGTTGAGGAGGACTCCATTGAAGAGGCTTCCAAAGCTTCTCCAGCAACTCCAAAGGAGCAAAGGCTACCTCAACAGAGGGAGACCCCCAAACTGATCATGCCTCCACCTAATGTGAACAGTGAAGAAGGAGCTGTGGAGTCTAAACCCACCAGCCCATTCTCCCCGGATGGGCACCATCCAGTGACTGACTGGGGAGAGGAGATGGAACTGCTGTCACCTCCAGGAAGCAGTAATGAGGACAGCCCTCCTCAAGTCGTTAATAGGAAGGTGTTCACCATGGACTCGAGATCTCACTCAGGTCAGTGAAAGTTTGAGTGGTGCACTGACAATGGCCTATATGCGCACACGTCTCACCCCAAGCTGGTGTATCTGCTAGTGATGGTTCACAGCTAAAACCATGTTTTTCTGTATGAGAGTCTGTCCTTTAACAGTGTTCACTGAACTGCAGACCGTTATGTAGTCTTGGAATTTCCATTTAAAGATACGTAAAATGTAAAACATCCTTTGGTGTTAACCTCCCTGGCGGTATTCCCGAGTGTAGCTCGGGGTTACTTTTCCATACCATAAGCGGTAACCCTGAGCTACACTCGGGAAAGCTGCATTGCATTTACTTACCTTGTCCCTCAAGCCGCACTGTGTTCTGTGGCCGATGCCGTGTTCCGTCGCTTGCGAGCGTACGCGTCGCAGGGGGACGGAACCTGCGGGATAATAAAAAAAAACACGACAAAGACGGAAAAAATAGACCGAAAAATGACATGTAAAAAATTAAAAATCATACCGCCAGGGAGGTTAATGGGGACACTGATGATAACAAGTGGCTTGTGATCAGGCTATATCCGCTCCTTGGTTGTGGGGGGTTTTTTTTTAAATTTATTTTTTAATATTTTTGACTGTTTTAATGTGAACTGAAGCTTCTGTTCTTCCCAAATCCGCAGGCTATAAGAGGAGACAGCGCTAAGTCAGCTATTAACCCTTCCGCTTCCTGCCAGGTTCTTTCCACTGACCCTTGTGATTGGATAGTGAATGATTTGACCTTGTGTGTTACAATCTGAATGGAGAGCAACACTCATCTTGTTTTATATGGCAATCTGTAAAATACGTGCTTTTGTCCTTTTTTTTTAAATGATCATATTTTCATGTTTTTGCTGCGGAGATACCATCTGATCATACCATACCAAGGCCATTTCAAAGTAGTGACAGTGCCATTTGCAGGTACCCATTTCAGGGCTGGATGCGGTCAGGTATACTATAGTTAACAACCCTCTTGCTAGGTGTTTGATTGTCACCGGATTGGCAATGTTGCACTTGTCGGCTTAAAATGAAACTCTCTGCTTTGGATTGCTTCCTTTGTGGTATTTTTCTCTGCCTTGCAAAGTCTTCTGGACGAGTTTGTCACTTGATTAGAAGCTGCACATGCTGAAAATCATCCAGTAGAAAACCTTTATATTTCTTAATATTTTTTTTTTTTTTTACACCAAATATTGCATCTGATAGGCTGCTGAGTTGAATGTTTACAAACTAATCACATGACAGGTTTGCTGCAATTTTACCTAATAATTTTTAGATTTGAAAAGGTTGCAGCTGTATGCATGAAACTCCACTTAAAGGTAATCTATTATAAAAACTGGACTTTCTTCTTCTTTTTTTTTTTTTTTAAAGCTTAAAAATATTTTTTTTTATTTGCGATTTTATGAAAAATTATCTAGACATTCCATATTTATTAAAGCTATCAAAACATCACTTGAATCACATGCGAGAGGCACAGTGTTGATCCCAACTGGATTTAAAAAATTTGCCATGACCCCTTTACATACGCTGCCACTGACTGAATTGATAGTGCTGCATTGCCTCTACTATAAAGAATTATGGAGGCAGCCACTATATTTTTTTTTTTTCCATCAAAAATATTGCCTTTATTCCAGTCATTTGGTATGGAAAAAATAAGATTAATGATAATTTTCTCGTTTATTTAAATTTAATCATTGTCTAAGGAAGAGAGGGCACATGTAGAAATAAATGTCTTCCTAATAACTGCTTACCTACAAAGGCCACCTTAATAGGGTGTCCATTAGTCTTAGTTGTGCCCAACAACCATTAATTATGCCATTATTCAAGCCACATTTCCTCATTTATAGTAGGACCATGTAAACCAGAGTAATCATGAGGACCTATCCGTGTCTGCGCTGCTGATCCTCTAATCATGATGTTAACTTGCACTATTTATACAAACAAGCTGCTAACTGGTAATGGCTTTTCCAAAGATACATGGGGCACGCCATGGTCTTACTCATGGAGTGTGGCCCAAGCCAATGCATAGCTGGGAAGCCTATTGATTCATTAATTTTTCCAGGGCTTCTGCTATTTAATATAAGAGGTTATGTTGGCCACATGCTTGTAGTTCAATAATCAGATATTCTGATTAAATCAAGTTATTACTGATTGATTTTTTTTTTTTTTTTCCACAGCTTATTTTTTTTTCTACCACAATTTAAATTGCATTCCGATTTGCAGGATTAAATTAAATAGGAGGGTAATGGGACAGAGAGGAACATTCTGATTGGATGGTTTAAGTAATGCTCCATTCATTCAGTTCAAACAGTTTAAGTGCCTCTAAACTCAGAGGTTAAATCTTAAAAATGCATTCAAGTGCCTTTACTATTAACAAAAATGTGACTTATTTGTGTATCACTCAGCTGAAGATCCTCAAATCATCTCTGAATTGGTGCTGACACTGTCCTTCCTTCTGTAGGGGGGCTACTTTTGTTTCCCATGGCCCCTCTGTGTCTTGCAAAGTAGTCACCGCTCCAAGCTCGTTCCTGTGATGGACTACAAGCTCAGTACATATACAGGTGAAACTCGAATAATTAGAATATCGTGCAAAGTTCATTTATTTCACTAATGCAACTTAAAAGGTGAAACTAATATGAGATAGACTCATTAGATGCAAAGCAAGATAATTCAAGCCATGATTTGTCATAATTGTGATGATTATGGCTTACAGCTCATGAAAACCCCAAGAACCCCAAATCCACAACCTCAAAAAAGTAGATTACATAGAACAATATCGGACCTCTGAAAAGTACAAGCATGCATATGCACTCAGTACTTGGTTTGGGCCCCTTTTGCAGCACTTACTGCAATTACTTTTGCACAATATTCTAATCGAGTTTCACCTGTAGGTAAACTAAACGTGAGACTGTAGTCCATCACAGGAGCGAGCTTGGAGCTGTGACTACTTTACAACACACAGGGACCATGGGGAACAAAAGTAGCCACCCTTCAGAAGGAAGGACAGTGTCACCACCAATTCAGAGATGATTTGAGGACTTACAGCCGTGGGTAGTGGGTATAGTGGGTAATGGCAGGAGTGGGCCCTCAGGACACAGGTAGTGAGCACTCCAGGGAGGGTGTATAATTTTTTTAGCATGGGTCCCGTTTCCTTTTAGACGGAAAAATAGAAAAGAAAACCTGGGCATTAATTTAAACCAATGATTTTAATTGGTATGGATAAGGCTGGACAGTATTCACGATTTTAGGTTTGTAATTTTAAGACTGTCTAGTTTTTACTAGATCAACATATGAATGTGAATGATGCATATCAGTGTCAATGCCTTATTGTATTATTTTTATATCATTCATTTTGTCATCACAATCATGCCCCTATGTAAACGGACGGTATGCACTCTGAATCATGACTGTCTCTTGACTACAATCTAGTGTTTTCACTGTGTATTTTTTATAAGGTCTATGTGTGTAATGAAACCTTTTTAATGACATGGACTTTGATTAAATGATTTTTTTTATAATCTGCATTATATTAAGTTTATCTTCTTCTTCTTTTTTTTTTTTTTTTTTAAATATAGTATAAGAAAGAAAAATAAAGTATTAAAGGAAACACTGCGGTTTGCTGTTTGTAAACAAAATTTTTTTTTTTATACAAATATTATAAGATATAATAAACATTTCTAGCGAGTTTCTGACAAACAGTCCTGACCCTTCTGTAAAGTGTGGTAGGCAACAGAATTCACATCTTTTACAATCCTTGGCCAGTAGATCACCAAAGATGAAAGATGTACTGCTGTAAACCGATGAGTGTGCGGGGGATGCTTACATTTACACTTCTAGCTCTGTACACATTTCTAGGATGAGAACAAAAAGAAACATACAGTATCATTCTGGAACCTTCTTCTAAACAGTACTCTTTTTAAAGATGCAAGATGTGATTTTTCTTTTAGTGCAGACACACCTTTGGAACAGAGGCCTATTTTTTCCTGGTCTTTTTCATTGCAACAATTTAGCATTTCTTAAAGGAACACAGCTATTAAATGGAGTGCACGGGCTGCCTGTGTTGATCACTGGAAACTGACAAAAGCATGCAGTGATGAAAACCTGACAAAGGTTCTACACTTTCCCGATTCTACTAAAAAGTGTCTTTTTGGCTGTATCTGTTCCCATTGGAGAGATTTCTTACATCCCTACCTCTTCACCTGATCCCCTATTACCAGGACAGTGCATTAGGGGAGATCTCCCACTGGGCATTTTCTGGAGTTATGGTTTATGGCAACAGGCAGCACTCCTGTTAAGAACTGTGTTTAACAGTTATTTAAATCAAACATAATAATACTTTTCCCATTGAGGGCAAAGCAACTGTTGCTTTAAAGCAGGCCTTTATCCCCTTTCCCTAAAAATCACCTCAGCATGCAGCTCTGCATGCTGATCTGAAATCATCTTACATTCACTAGTTAAACAAACATATTTTTCTTGCAATTATTGTTTTTCCACTTCCTGGCCCTCTTGGGCATTTGTGATTGTTCCCGAGCATTACACCATGGGATGATGACATCAGCAGAGCATTGCTGGGAAATCTCATCTGTAATCTCATGCGATCTCAGGGAAAGGCATTTTCTTCTGAGATGATGTGCATGGTCACATGTCCTAGTCACATGCGCCAGAGTTCCAGGAAGTAAAGGGAGATAGTGTATATTAATCTGCCATTAGTAAAAAAAAAAAAAAATGGCCACCGTGAGAAGAATGGGAAGGAAAAGAGAAATGAGGTATACAAAGCCGGCAATTCTAGATCACCATTTCTAAAGGTCTTTGTCGTCATTTAAAAGATATGTCTTTAACTCAGCTACCCCCAGCAGTATACACTTATATTTCCTTTGCTCTCCTGCTGTTCCTTTTGGTGACAGGAACCAAAGAAAATATCTGCTACTTCCATGTAGGAGGAACATGTTACTCACTCCTTCTGACAGCGCTGGGTCTCAATTATACATAATTGTTGTTAATGGAGCTGGCTCCTAAGAAAAATTCCATATTAGCTTGTCCACCCCTGATAGAGATAGATATAAAGATATATTTTTCCAATCATCTTCCAGGACAGCAACCTGAGAGATGATTGGATCTTCAGTCTACAGGAAACACAATCAGACAAGGTTAAAAACCCTCCCACCCCCCTCGTCCCTCAGTTTTTGATTGTGTTTCTTACCGT